TGTTGACTTTTGTTATCAGCTGGTGCCGAAATAGCTCAGTTGGGAGAGCGTTAGACTGAAGATCTAAAGGTCCCTGGTTCGATCCTGGGTTTCGGCAGGTTAGTCAACAGCTATCCGGAAAGGTTCACATCCTTCAGGTGTTGATTTTCAAAGAAGGCTGTTAAACCTGTTGTACATTTTTACAAAATATACTGGCTGAATGTGATTTGTTGTGTTGACTTTTGTTATCATTTGGTGCCGAAATAGCTCAGTTGGGAGAGCGTTAGACTGAAGATCTAAAGGTCCCTGGTTTGATCCCGGGTTTCGGCAGGTTAGTCCACAGCTATCCTGAAATCTTCATGTCCTTCAGGTGTTGATTTTCAAAGCAGGCTGTTAAATCTGTTGGAAATGTTTACAAAATATTCTGTTTTGTTGACTTTTGCTGTCTTCCGGTGCCGAAATAGCTCAGTTGGGAGAGCGTTAGACTGAAGATCTAAAGGTCCCTGGTTCGATCCAGGGTTTCGGCAGGTTAGTCAACAGCAATGCGGAAAGGTTCACATCCTTCAGGTGTTGATTTTCAAAGAAGGCTGTTAAACCTGTTGTACATTTTTACAAAATATACTGACTGAATGTGATTTGTTGTGTTGACTTTTGTTATCATTTGGTGCCGAAATAGCTCAGTTGGGAGAGCGTTAGACTGAAGATCTAAAGGTCCCTAGTTTGATCCGGGATTTCGGCAGGTTAGTCAACAGCTATCCGGAAAGGTTCACATCCTTCAGGTGTAGATTTTCAAAGAAGGCTGTTAAACCTGTTGTACGTTTTTACAAAATATACTGGCTGAATGTGATTTGTTGTGTTGACTTTTGTTATCAGCTGGTGCCGAAATAGCTCAGTTGGGAGAGCGTTAGACTGAAGATCTAAAGGTCCCTGGTTCGATCCCGGGTTTCGGCAGGTTAGTCAACAGCTATCCGGAAAGGTTCACATCCTTCAGGTGTTGATTTTCAAAGAAGGCTGTTAAACCTGTTGTACATTTTTACAAAATATACTGGCTGAATGTGATTTGTTGTGTTGACTTTTGTTATCATTTGGTGCCGAAATAGCTCAGTTGGGAGAGCGTTAGACTGAAGATCTAAAGGTCCCTGGTTCGATCCCGGGTTTCGGCAGGTTAGTGAACAGCTATCCTGAACGGTTCACATCCTTCCGATGTTGATTTTCAAAGCAGGCTGTTACACCTGTTGAAAAGTTTTACAAAATATTCTGCCTGAATGTGATTTGTTTTGTTGACTTCTGTTGGTGTTCGGTGCCTAAATTGCTCAGATGGCAGAGCGTTAGACTGAAGATCTAAAGGTCCCTGGTTCGATCCTGGGTTACGTCAGGTTAGTCAACAGCTATCCTGAAAGGTTCACGTCCTTCAGGTGTAGATTTTCAAAGCAGGCTGTTAAACCTGTTGAAAATTTTTACAAAATATTCTGCCTGAATGTGATTTGTTTTGTTGACTTTTGCTTTCTTCCGGTGCAGAAATAGCTCAGTTGGGAGAGCGTTAGACTGAAGATCTAAAGGTCCCTTGTTCGATCCCCGGGTTCAGCAGGTTAGTCAACAGCTATCCTGAACGGTTCACATCCTTCAGATGTTCATTTTCAAAGCAGGCTGTTAAACCTGTTGAAAAGTTTTACAAAATATTCTGCCTGAATGTGATTTGTTTTGTTGACTTTTGTTGGTGTTCGGTGCCTAAATTGCTCAGATGGCAGAGCGTTAGACTGAAGATTTAAAGGTCCCTGGTTCGATCCTGGGTTACGTCAGGTTAGTCAACAGCTATCCCGAAAGGTTCACGTCCTTCAGGGGGGTATACTACGAAGCTCGCTGAACATATCCAGGTTTTCTTGGGAAAACCTCGATTGCTAAAGACGAAACTCGCGATCAGAGGTAAACGGTTCCACGAAGCTCACTTAAAGGTAAATTTGTCAAGCCAGGTTTTCCGCTTTAGGTTCAATGCGCGTTCACATAAAAAGGGCGTAACCCAACGTCATTCACCTTGACGCAATGGATCCGACGGAGCGAACACGGGCTGTGTATGTCACTTAGGAGGAGCAAGTAGTGATTATGAACTCATACGAGGAGTTTAAAAAGCAAATAACGGCAAGGGGCGATACAGTTGCCCATGCTGGCAAAAAACAGCAGATTCTGTGAATGCGTAAGAATTGTTCGCCATTAATCCCAATACTCTATTGGGATTAATGGCGAACGATTCTTACGCATATGATTGCAAAATGCAAAAGCAACCTCCAACTTGCTTTTTTGTGTAATTTAGGGAATTCCTTTCAAATACATCCTATGTAAGAAACGTATTGCATGTGCTGGCTGGTAGCGACGGTGGTGTGGTGGATTAGGATGTGAGCTGAACGCCAGCGACTGGGGTTCATATCTTGCCTGTCCATCATCACGCCTTTTACCCCCATCTAGATCTGATTTGTGTGCTGACTTTTGTTATCATCTGGTGCCGAAATAGCTCAGTTGGGAGAGCGTTAGACTGAAGATCTAAAGGTCCCTGGTTCGATCCCGGGTTTCGGCAGGTTAGTGAACAGCTATCCTGAGCGGTTCACATCCTTCCGATGTTGATTTTCAAAGCAGGCTGTTACACCTGTTGAAAAGTTTTACAAAATATTCTGCCTGAATGTGATTTGTTTTGTTGACTTTTGTTGGTGTTCGGTGCCTAAATTGCTCAGATGGCAGAGCGTTAGACTGAAGATCTAAAGGTCCCTGGTTCGATCCTGGGTTACGTCAGGTTAGTCAACAGCTATCCTGAAAGGTTCACGTCCTTCAGGTGTAGATTTTCAAAGCAGGCTGTTAAACCTGTTGAAAATTTTTACAAAATATTCTGCCTGAATGTGATTTGTTTTGTTGACTTTTGCTTTCTTCCGGTGCCGAAATAGCTCAGTTGGGAGAGCGTTAGACTGAAGATCTAAAGGTCCCTTGTTCGATCCCGGGGTTCGGCAGGTTAGTCAACAGCTATCCTGAACGGTTCACATCCTTCAGATGTTCATTTTCAAAGCAGGCTGTTAAACCTGTTGAAAAGTTTTACAAAATATTCTGCCTGAATGTGATTTGTTTTGTTGACTTTTGTTGGTGTTCGGTGCCTAAATTGCTCAGATGGCAGAGCGTTAGACTGAATATGTGAAGGTCCCTGGTTCGATCCTGGGTTTCGCCAGGTTGATCAACAGCTATCCCGAAAGGTTCACGTTCTTCAGGTGTTGATTTTCAAAGAAGGCTGTTAAACCTGTTGTACATTTTTACAAAATATACTGGCTGAATGTGATTTGTTGTGTTGACTTTTGTTACCATCTGGTGCCGAAATAGCTCAGTTGGGAGAGCGTTAGACTGAAGATCTAAAGGTCCCTGGTTCGATCCCGGGTTTCGGCAGGTTTGTCAACAGCTATCCGGAAAGGTTCACATCCGTCAGATGTTCATTTTCAAAGCAGGCTGTTGAAAAGTTTTACAAGATATTCTGCCTGAATGTGATTTGTTTTGTTTACTTTTGCCGTCTTCCGGTGCCGAAATAGCTCAGTTGGGAGAGCGTTAGACTGAAGATCTAAAGGTCCCTGGTTCGATCCTGGTTTCGGCAGGGTAGTCAACAGCTTTCCTGAAAGGTTCACATCCTTCAGGTGCTGAATCTTAAAGCAGGCCGTTAAACCAGTTGGTTAATGTAACAAATTATACTTCCTTAATGTGTTTTGTTTTGTTGACTTTTGGTGTCTTTTTGTGCCGAAATAGCTCAGTTGGGAGAGCGTTAGACTGAAGATCTAAAGGTCCCTGGTGCAATCCCGGGTTTCGGCAGGTTAGTCCACATCTACCCCGAAATCTTCACGTCCTTCAGGTGTTGATTTTCAAAGCAGGCTGTTAAATCTGTTGAAAAGTTTAACAAAATATTCTCCCTGAATGTGATTTGTTTTGTTGATTTTTGCTGTCTTCCGGTGCCGAAATAGCTCAGTTGGGAGAGCGTCAGACTGAATAAGTAAAGGTCCCTGGTTCGATCCTGGGTTTCGCCAGGTTAGTCAACAGCTATCCTGAACGATTCACGACCTTGAAATGTTGATTTTCAAAGCAGGCTGTTAAACCTGTTGAAAAGGTTTACAAAATATTCTGCCTGAATGTGATTTGTTTTGTTGAATTTGGGTGTTGTTTTGTGCCGAAAAAGCTCAGTTGGGAGAGCGTTAGACTGAATATGTAAAGGTCCCTGGTTCGATCCTGGGTTTCGCCAGGTTGATCAACAGCTATCCCGAAAGGTTCACGTTCTTCAGGTGTTGATTTTCAAAGAAGGCTGTTAAACCTGTTGTACATTTTTACAAAATATACTGGCTGAATGTGATTTGTTGTGTTGACTTTTGTTATCATTTGGTGCCGAAATAGCTCAGTTGGGAGAGCGTTAGACTGAAGATCTAAAGGTCCCTGGTTCGATCCCGGGTTTCGGCAGGTTAGTCAACAGCTATCCGGAAAGGTTCACATCCTTCAGGTGTAGATTTTCAAAGAAGGCTGTTAAACCTGTTGAAAAGTTTTACAAAATATTCTGCCTGAATGTGATTTGTTTTGTTGACTTTTGTTGGTGTTCGGTGCCTAAATTGCTCAGATGGCAGAGCGTTAGACTGAAGATCTAAAGGTCCCTGGTTCGATCCTCGGTTACGTCAGGTTAGTCAACAGCTATCCTGAAAGGTTCACGTCCTTCAGGTGTAGATTTTCAAAGCAGGCTGTTAAACCTGTTGAAAATTTTTACAAAATATTCTGCCTGAATGTGATTTGTTTTGTTGACTGTTGCTCTCTTCCGGTGCCGAAATAGCTCAGTTGGGAGAGCGTTAGACTGAAAATCTAAAGGTCCCTTGTTCGATCCCGGGTTTCGGCAGGTTAGTCAACAGCTATCCTGAACAGTTCACATCCTTCAGATGTTCATTTTCAAAGCAGGCTGTTGAAAAGTTTTACAAGATATTCTGCCTGAATGTGATTTCTTTTGTTTACTTTTGCCGTCTTCCGGTGCCGAAATAGCTCAGTTGGGAGAGCGTTAGACTGAAGATCTAAAGGCTTCAGCTTTCCTGAAAGGTTCACATCCTTCAGGTGCTGAATCTTAAAGCAGGCCGTTAAACCAGTTGGTTAATGTAACAAATTATACTACCTTAATGTGTTTTGTTTTGTTGACTTTTGGTGTCTTTTTGTGCTGAAATAGCTCAGTTGGGAGAGCGTTCGACTGAAGATCTAAAGGTCCCTAGTTCGATCCCGTGTTTCGGCAGGTTAGTCAACAGCTATGCCGAAAGGATCACATCCTTCAGGTGTTGATTTTCAAAGCAGGCTGTTAAACCTATTGAAAAGTTTTACAAAATATTCTGCCTGAATGTGATTTGTTTTGTTGACTTTTGCTGTCCTCCAGTGCCGAAATAGCTCAGTTGGGAGAGCGTTGGACTGAAGATCTAAAGGTCCCTGTTTTGATCCCGGGTTTCGGCAGGGTAGTCAACAGCTATCCTGAAAGGTTCACATCCTTCAGGTGCTGAATTTTAAAGCAGGCCGTTAAACCAGTTGGTTAATGTAACAAATTATACTTCCTTAATGTGTTTTGTTTTGTTGACTTTTGCTGTCTTTTTGTGCCGAAATAGCTCAGTTGGGAGAGCGTTAGACTGAAGATCTAAAGGTCCCTGGTTCGATCCCGGGTTTCGGCAGGTTAGTCAACAGCTATCTGGAAAGGTTCACATCCTTCTGGTGTTGATTTTCAAAGAAGGCTGTTAAACCTGTTGTACATTTTTACAAAATACTGGCTGAATGTGATTTGTTGTGTTGACTTTTGTTATCATTTGGTGCCGAAATAGCTCAGTTGGGAGAGCGTTTGACTGAAGATCTAAAGGTCCCTGGTTCAATCCCGGGTTTCGGCAGGTTAGTCCACAGCTATCCCGAAATCTTCACGTCCTTCAGGTGTTGATTTTCAAAGCAGGCTGTTAAATCTGTTGAAAATGTGTACAAAATATTCTGTTTTGTTGACTTTTGCTGTCTTCCGGTGCCGAAATAGCTCAGTTGGGAGAGCGTTAGACTGAAGATCTAAAGGTCCCTGATTCGATCCCGGGTTTCGGCAGGTTAGTCAACAGCTATCCGGAAAGGTTCACATCCTTCAGGTGTTGATTTTCAAAGAAGGCTGTTAAACCTGTTGTACATTTTTACAAAATATACTGGCTGAATGTGATTTGTTGTGTTGACTTTTGTAATCATTTGGTGCCGAAATAGCTCAGTTGGGAGAGCGTTAGACTGAAGATCTAAAGGTCCCTGGTTCGATCCCGGGTTTCGGCAGGTTAGTCCACAGCTATCCTGAAATCTTCACGTCCTTCAGGTGTTGATTTTCAAAGCAGGCTGTTACACCTGTTGAAAAGTTTTACAAAATATTCTGCCTGAATGTGATTTGTTTTGTTGACTTTTGCTGTCCTCCAGTGCCGAAATAGCTCAGTTGGGAGAGCGTTAGACTGAAGATCTAAAGGTCCCTGGTTCGATCCCGGGTTTCGGCAGGGTAGTCAACAGCTATCCTGAAAGGTTCACATCCTTCAGGTGCTGAATTTTAAAGCAGGCCGTTAAACCAGTTGGTTAATATAACAATATATACTTCCTTAATGTGTTTTGTTTTGTTGACTTTTGCTGTCTTTTTGGGCTGAAATAGCTCAGTTGGGAGGGCGTTAGACTGAAGATCTAAAGGTCTTTGGTTCGATCCCGGGTTTCGGCAGGTTAGTCAACAGCTATCCGGAAAGGTTCACATCCTTCAGGTGCTGAATTTTAAAGCAGGCCGTTAAACCAGTTGGTTAATATAACAAATTATACTTCCTTAATGTGTTTTGTTTTGTTGACTTTTGCTGTCTTTTTGGGCTGAAATAGCTCAGTTGGGAGGGCGTTAGACTGAAGATCTAAAGGTCTTTCGTTCGATCCCGGGTTTCGGCAGGTTAGTCAACAGCTATCCGGAAAGGTTCACATCCTTCAGGTGTTGATTTTCAATGAAGGCTGTTAAACCTGTTGTACATTTTTACAACATATACTGGCTGAATGTGATTTGTTGTGTTGACTTTTGCTATTGTTTGGTGCCGAAATAGCTCAGTTGGGAGAGCGTTAGACTGAACATCTAAAGGTCCCTGGTTCAATCCCGGGTTTCGGCAGGTTAGTCCACAGCTATCCAGAAATCTGCACGTCATTCAGGTGTTGAATTTCAAAGCAGGTTGTTAAATCCGTTGAAAAGTTTTACAAAATATTCTCCCTGAATGTGATTTGTTTTGTTGATTTTTGCTGTCTTCCGGTGCCGAAATAGCTCATTTGGGAGAGCGTTAGACTGAAGATCTAAAGGTCCCTGGTTCGATCCCGGGTTTCGGCAGGTTAGTCAACAGCTATCCTGAACGATTCACAACCTTCAAATGTTGATTTTCAAAGCAGGCTGTTAAACCTGTTGAAAAGTTTTACAAAATATTCTGCCTGAATGTGATTTGTTTTGTTGACTTTCGTTGTTGTTTGGTGCCGAAATAGCTTAGTTGGGAGAGCGTTAGACTGAATATGTAAAGATCCCTGGTTCGATCCTGGGTTTCGGCAGGTTAATCAACAGCTATCCCGAGAGGTTCACGTTCTTCAGGTGTTGATTTTCAAAGCAGGTTGCAAAACCTGTTGAAAACTTTTACAAAATATTCTGCCTGAATGTGATTTGTTTTATTGACTTTTGTTGGTGTTCGGTGCCTAAATTGCTCAGATGGGAGAGCGTTAGACGGAAGATCTAAAGGTCCCTGGTTCGATCCTGGGTTTCCTCAGGTTAGTCAACAGCTATCGCGAAAGATTCACGTCCTTCAGGTGTTGATTTTCAAAGCAGGCTGTTAAACCTGTTGAAAACTTTTACAAAACATTCTGCCTGAAGGTGATTTGTTTTGTTGACTGTTGTTGGTGTTCGGTGCCTAAATTGCTCAGATGGGAGAGTGTTAGACTGAAGATCTAAAGGTCCCTGGTTCGATCCTGGGTTACGTCAGGTTAATCAACAGCTATCCTGAAAGGTTCACGTCCTTCAGGTGTAGATTTTCAAAGCAGGCTGTTAAACCTGTTGAAAATTTTTACAAAATATTCTGCCTGAATGTGATTTGTTTTGTTGACTTTTGCTTTCTTCCGGTGCCGAAATAGCTCAGTTGGGAGAGCGTTAGACTGAAGATCTAAAGGTCCCTTGTTCGATCCCGGGTTTCGGCAGGTTAGTCAACAGCTATCCTGAACGATTCACAACCTTGAAATGTTGATTTTCAAAGCAGGCTGTTAAACCTGTTGAAAAGGTTTACAAAATATTCTGCCTGAATGTGATTTGTTTTGTTGAATTTGGGTGTTTTGTGCCGAAATAGCTCAGTTGGGAGAGCGTTAGACTGAATATGTAAAGGTCCCTGGTTCGATCCTGGGTTTCGCCAGGTTGATCAACAGCTATCCCGAAAGGTTCACGTTCTTCAGGTGTTGATTTTCAAAGAAGGCTGTTAAACCTGTTGTACATTTTTACAAAATATACTGGCTGAATGTGATTTGTTGTGTTGACTTTTGTTACCATCTGGTGCCGAAATAGCTCAGTTGGGAGAGCGTTAGACTGAAGATCTAAAGGTCCCTGGTTCGATCCCGGGTTTCGGCAGGTTAGTCAACAGCTATCCGGAAAGGTTCACATCCTTCAGATGTTCATTTTCAAAGCAGGCTGTTGAAAAGTTTTACAAGATATTCTGCCTGAATGTGATTTGTTTTGTTTACTTTTGCCGTCTTCAGGTGCCGAAATAGCTCAGTTGGGAGAGCGTTAGACTGAAAATCTAAAGGTCCCTGGTTCGATCCCGGGTTTCGGCAGGTTAGTCCACAGCTATCCTGAAATCTTTACGTCCTTCAGGTGTTGATTTTCAAAGCAGGCTGTTAAATCTGTTGAAAATGTGTACAAAATATTCTGTTTTGTTGACTTTTGCTGTCTTCCGGTGCCGAAATAGCTCAGTTGGGAGAGCGTTAGACTGAAGATCTAAAGGTCCCTGGTTCGATCCCGGGTTTCGGCAGGTTAGTCAACAGCTATCCGGAAAGGTTCACATCCTTCAGGTGTTGATTTTCAAAGAAGGCTGTTAAACCTGTTGTACATTTTTACAAAATATACTGGTTGAATGTGATTTGTTGTGTTGACTTTTGTAATCATTTGCTAGCCGGGTTTCGGCAGGTTAGTCCACAGCTATCCTGAAATCTTCACGTCCTTCAGGTGTTGATTTTCAAAGCAGGCTGTTACACCTGTTGAAAAGTTTTACAAAATATTCTGCCTGAATGTGATTTGTTTTGTTGACTTTTGCTGTCCTCCAGTGCCGAAATAGCTCAGTTGGGAGAGCGTTAGACTGAAGATCTAAAGGTCCCTGGTTCGATCCCGGGTTTCGCCAGGGTAGTCGACAGCTATCCTGAAAGGTTCACATCCTTCAGGTGCTGAATTTTAAAGCAGGCCGTTAAACCAGTTGGTTAATATAACAAATTATACTTCCTTAATGTGTTTTGTTTTGTTGACTTTTGCTGTCTTTTTGGGCCGAAATAGCTCAGTTGGGAGGGCGTTAGACTGAAGATCTAAAGGTCTTTGGTTCGATCCCGGGTTTCGGCAGGTTAGTCAACAGCTATCCGGAAAGGTTCACATCCTTCAGGTGCTGAATTTTAAAGCAGGCCGTTAAACCAGTTGGTTAATATAACAAATTATACTTCCTTAATGTGTTTTGTTTTGTTGACTTTTGCTGTCTTTTTGGGCTGAAATAGCTCAGTTGGGAGGGCGTTAGACTGAAGATCTAAAGGTCTTTGGTTCGATCCCGGGTTTCGGCAGGTTAGTCAACAGCTATCCGGAAAGGTTCACATCCTTCAGGTGTTGATTTTCTATGAAGGCTGTTAAACCTGTTGTACATTTTTACAACATATACTGGCTGAATGTGATTTGTTGTGTTGACTTTTGTTATTGTTTGGTGCCGAAATAGCTCAGTTGGGAGCGCGTTAGACTGAAGATCTAAAGGTCCCTGGTTCAATCCCGGGTTTCGGCAGGTTAGTCCACAGCTATCCAGAAATCTGCACGTCATTCAGGTGTTGAATTTCAAAGCAGGCTGTTAAATCTG